TGAAGCTGTTTGAACCGCTCCTAGCTCGACGATCGCGAAATTAATAACCCAGTGCACTTCTAGACTAATTTTTGTGAAACGTCTTGAGACTACGAGTAAGTTTGATATCTCACAGTTCTCCAAAGTTCTGACTTGGGAGCTCATAATTTAGTACGTGCTCGTTAAAGTTGGAAGTTGTTTGTTTAACACTATATCAGTAATGACAGTTCATTCAAGTTTGAAGCTCCTGAAATAGTACTAATTGCAATCTCATAACACAGTACTATCATAGTTTGCAAGAATTTGGTGCTGTTTGATCTAATACTGTGGCCTAGAGTTTACTAAAGTTTGATCAAATCGTATCTCAATTGTTCAGACTCGTTTTCTTGGTTCTTTAAAGGGAAGGAGGGCCAAATTTAGCCGTTTGTATCCTCGAATCTCGGCAAACTCGAAGTTCGACAGTTTATTCGAATTAGTTTATGCTATTATCGCGGTCGTAAATGAATCCCGTCGTCTTTTCCCGGGCGTTTTTCCGGAAGCCCACGCGGAATGTCGGAGTTTATGCAACTCGGGTCGAAATTACTTTCGCGCGATTCAATTAGAGTCGCGGGTAGCTCTTTCTGGAATTCGAAGAATCCGCGGAGCGAGGCGGAGATGCTCGAGCGAACGTGCCGCGGAAAATACGGAAGAGGCGTTAATTGGAGCGTGGAGCGATCCAGTGCGAGGCAGTCTTCGATTTTGGAAGCTTTCGCGCGTGCTCTGGTCGAAACCTGAACTATATCGGCTATATATCATAGAGGGACTAAATCGCGGGGAAACTGAAACTGATCTCACGCGCGCTTTCTACTCCATTCTCTCGTCGGGAACGATCAATTGGAGATGTTTGTATTGTTTTGGTTTGGACCAGGCACAACAGATAAGCCTGTCGGGGCTCTGTTTCGTTCCGAAAGTATAATCCTTTCCAATTTATACTTTCACCGTGCAAAACTATGCGCACGTACCAATGACGGCCTCGCGCCTGAACAAAATTTAAATACGTTCCTTGATCGAACTTATCGATAAGGTTTTTCCAAGACCGGAAGTCCACGATGCACCGTGAAGACTGATCAGTCCAGCGGTTCTTTATCTGTTTTTTTTTCTTCTCAGAATAAAATTGTACTTTAAATGCTCGATCGTCGAGTTTCTTTCCACGACGTTGATTCATCCTTCCTCGTTATCAAACGGCGATAATGAAAAATTGATCGTTCGACGTTCGCTGGTAGATGGCGGGCTAATGGTCGATAGACGCTTATTAATTAGGCAAAACTGGGGAATAACTTTGATTTTACAAACTAGACGACCTTTCACTATTTTCTAAATGTTGATCGCCGGCCCGTTACTTTCTCGATCCCTAATTGTGACGGGTAACTTTCATCGTAATTACCGACAACACCAGTCCCCGGTAATTTCATTTGCAGTTAAAGCGTGGAGATATCATCGCTGAAGACCCCGTCGACCAGCACGCTCTCGAAAACGGTAGATTCCCCGTGGCCAGGCGTTTGCCATTCATAAATTCCTAGACGCTTCCTACGTTTTTAAAAATGCGTTCAGCGTTACGAACGTTTGATAACTTATTATTGCTCGATATTATCACATTTTTTTCCTTTCTTTTTACATCATGCTCTTACGCAAGGGTGAAGTAATTGCTGTATACGAACGAATCGGAAAAATGTGATGTAACCGAGAAATTCTTCTCGTGCCTTTCAACTCTGTTCTTTTTAACGATAAATCGTTGTTGGTTAGCAGGGCCCTCCGAGTCGCGATTTCCAATGCTTGTAATTTATTTTTATAGCCATTTCATGAAATAATTGATTTTCTTGTAAGTTGAATACTTTTGGGATTCTCCGGTTAGCTCGTGGAGCTGTTATTGCAGTTAGAATCGCTTTCTTTAAAGCGGCCAGAAGCCTTTGGAATATTGCAATCAGCTCGATTCGTAAACATCAATGAGCGATCACTGTCGCTCTCGGCGGGACGCGTTCGCTAATGGAAATTGCGCGTGACACGTGTTGGCTTCTAATTATATCCGGCCGACACACGGTTAATTACGGGAACTCGGCCGTAATTCTGGGGCAAACGTGCTTTGGCGTATCGTGTATTGCGTCGACGACCGTGTGCGATTGCATACTTACATGCGTCTACCAGAAACTTGGAAGCGAGGCTGACGCGTCGCGGGGTTCCGAACAAACTTTGGTAAATCCTCGCCGTTCGTCGCCGATGCTGAAATTGCACGGAGTTTTGGAACTCCAATGATCACAATAACGTCGAGATTTTATAAAGATTGCGTATATAAACTACCTGGCGCCCGGTAGCCAATTTTAACCCGATAAGCTTGACGACGCCTTGTCGACGACCCAGCATCGAACGACTAAACACGCGGAAATGAAAAAGAATTTTAGCCACCCGTTCTTTTAAATTTTCTGGAGGAAGCAGGAGTCACGTGTTTAATGGAAACTAGCGAGGAATTAAATTCGAAGAGTATCATCTAGCGATTTTATATAGGGAACAAAGTTATAGTCTGCATCCTTTGAAATAAATATTAAAAAGAATTTTAGCCAACCAAGATTTTTTTATATTTTTTAAAGGAAGACCTATTTAATGGATACTAGCGACGAATTGAATTTAAAAAGGAACATCTAGCGATATTATTTAGGGGCTAACAGTCTGCATTCTTTAAAATGAAAATTGAAAATAAGTTAGTCATCTAAGAATTTTTTAAATTTTCTCAAAAGAAGGCAGGTGTTACCTATTTAACGGAAACTAGCGAGGAATTGAATTCGAAAAGTACCATCTAGCGATTTTATATAAACACAAAGTTATAGCCTGGATCCTTTGAAATAAGAATTAAAAAGTATTTTAACCACCCAAGATTCTTTTAAATTTTCCAAAGGGAGCAGGAGTGAGCCGTTTAATTAGCGAGAAAGTAAATTAAGAGAGTACCATCCATTAATATTATTTAGAGTCTAAAGTTACGGTGTACATCCTCTAAAATAATAATTAAAAAGAATTTCCAGTCATCAAGATTCTTTTAAGTTTCTTACGAGAAGAAATGCACTTACGGTCGCTATAAAGATCTTAATAGGTTCGAGTTTAGATAGAGTTTTTAGATCTCGTAGAGAGTTTATGGTTATGGGAATGTAAATTTTTTGCGTTCAAGGAGTTCGGTTCGGAAGGAGAGTTTCCGAAAACTCGCGTATATTAAGGCTATCCAGAAAGTGGTTGATTCGTCCAAGTTTCGCGCATTGCTTGACCTCTGTATTGATTTCTTTTTTTTTTTTTTATCGTGGATACTCATTTTATCATTTCTGGCGCACGCATACGTAACGGTGACCCGAGATTACCGCTCGTATTCGCGATAAATAGAACAGAATCATCGCGAATCGAGGTTGCGAGCGGCCCAATGGGAAGCGTCGACTTCGACGAAAAAACTATAAAAGTCCATCTTCCTGACGCTGCAAACTGAAATAAATCGTGTTGTTAATAAACCGTGTTTTTTAAATGCTTGTTTTTCCCTCCCATTTCCTTAATATCAGCGCTCGGAATCAACTTTAAGCAAATCGTAAAAGTTTAAATGCTTATTAAAACCTCTCGCGCGTTGTACAACTTTACGATTATTTTTGCTACGAACAGAAAACGTTTCCGTTTGTGTTTCAATTTATCGAACAGAATGAAAAATAGGAAAAAAGAGGTTACCAAATGTCCGTAACGATTCTATTGTCGTCTGTTCGAAACTCGTGGCCCCGTTTTTCGCTTTTCGCGGTCGCCTTCTTGCAATAAAATGCACCTCGCGAAAAAGGTGGGAATTTGACCCGTTCTCGTTCCTGATTCCATCTGGAAGAGTCATCGATCGAGCGGGCACGTTCGCGGTTACCTTAATGAGTCGGAGCCGGGAGAGCCTCCGACGTAATTAAGAAAATTGCAGCCGATCGAGCGTGGATTCGCAGCGCAGAAATCTCGCACGTGCTGGCTACGATATTATTCCGCGAGAAACCGGGTCGAGCATCAAACGATAATGAAACCGGGCTCTAATATTCACGGTCGAACCTTCGCCTCTTGGCTTCCACTCGATTATGCATTCAGTGGGTAAAAATAAAGACGTGTCCCTTAGCTATGCTCGTTGCCTCTCGAGTGGCCACGTTCCTGCCATTTGTATTCCGACGACCTTTGACATCCACCTAGCCTCGTTTGGTTCTGATACCTTTCGAATCAATCTTTCCAATACGAATAATTCTTCGGATCGCGACGAATTTTGTCGATGGAAAAATCAAAATTCTATTATTTTATTCGACGTTTCGGATATAGGAGTTAACCTTTCTGAAACGAAGTTAGATTCGTAACGCGAGGACAATTAATAATTATTAATTCTTAGGTTGTGATGTGTAAAAAAAGAAGAATCTCGACTCACAAATGTAACATAACAAATTTTACGTCGATTAGAATTCTATTCGTAGAATTGAGAATCGTTTTTCAGAAGTATAGCTTGAAGTCCCTAACGTTGACAGAATTGTGAATCGCGAGAAGTAGGTTGGCCCTTTGCTATCGATTCGAAAGCTGCATAGGACAGAGGTTAGAGGATGAAAATCAGGATCGCGAATCGGCATAGCACGATGGTGATCCACGTTGCATCCGCGTCGTTCCTTTCGTCGTTTATCGGACGTCATCTTCACGGCGGTCTCGTGTCCACGTTCTCGTCGATGCTGTGATGATTCCTTATCGAGACAATGGCTTGGAGCACCGCCACGTCTTCCGACGACTGCGTCCCCCGCAATGACTGTGCGTCCATTTTCGAACGTACTTTACCACACGCTTGCAAATCTATTATAATTCATCTTTGCTTATCAGACTAACGAATTTTTAGAACGAAGTTTTAAAGAGATTATGGCAAAAGAATTAACGAGAGTTTCGTAATTACGATTGGATCGTTAAAATTGGCCACTGTGCGTAGGTTCGAGCCACTCTAACTCGAATTATCCTTTTCGTTTCAGGGTTGAGCAGCTTGATAGCGGAGGATGCGACCGGTTGGGACACCCTGATAATCGGGCTGGCGGAAATGATCGGAACCGCGATCTTGGTTTTCATCGGTTGCACCGGTTGCATCGGCAGTCTGAACGTCGTACCGAGCATATTTCAAATCTCCTTAACTTTTGGCCTTGCTGTGATGATTGCGATACAGGTATAGCGTAACATTTTCGGTCCTCCTGTTTCTCTTAAACGAGACTCGAGAACGACGGGGTCTAAGAATTGTCAACTTTCGGCTCGAAGACCTCAGACTGTACACGACAAAACTTCAAAGACACAAGTCTGTTAATCAAAAATAAATATTTAAGTTTTCGAGAGAGCAGCTTTTGAAACATGTCAGGTAGGAAATCAAAACTGGTTGATTAAAAATTATACAATGTAGCGAGAGGGTATATTTAAAAATTTTTTTTAGACAACCCTGTATTTAATTTAAAATTAAAAAAAACCGTCTATAGAGGCACTGTTTCCATCGTACAATGACCAATTAGCTGCAACTTTTATTTAACTCTGTGCCTCACGGCCATATTTCTTAATATTTTCGGTATTTTAAATAATAATTACCAACTGTTATTTCTACAGTTTCGATACATACGTCTATCCTGAAATTAATCATTTCCAAACTCGACTATCAAAACGTTAGAATTGTAATCTTTGAACTGCTTCAGAAGTTGTACATCTGTTAAAAATCCAGAATAATGGTTATTCAGGAATCGATCAAAGCCAAATTACAGAACTTCGTTCGTTGCTCCATCGAATTCTGTTATAAAAAATCGTACTATTTAAATAATGAAAGAAAAAAAATTGTTTAAGAAACGTGGTTTCCAGATTTTGTATTTTGGTTGCAGTGCATAGGACACATCAGCGGGGCTCACATAAATCCAGCGATAACGGTGGCCGCGTTGATCCTGGGTAAAAAGTCTCTACCAATGGCCGTACTTTACATTGCCGCCCAGTGTTTGGGATCCCTGATAGGCTATAGCTTGCTAAAGGTATCGAGAGTACCGCTCGACCAACGATATCGATTTGCCCGATGAAACGATCGCGTTAATCGTGTCCTTTCGTTGCCGTAGGCGATCACCCCGGCCGAGTTGATGTTCGCTTCGACGCCTGACAAAGCGAACTCATTCTGCATGACGGAGATCAACGAGAAACTGAGCGTCCCCCAGGGTTTCATGGCGGAGATGATCGGTACCGGGATCCTGGTCTTCTTCGCTTGCGGCCTCTGGGACCACCGAAACGCCAGCAACACCGACTCCGTGCCCATGAGGTTCGGTTTCTGCGTCACGGTGCTCTGCATAATCTTCATCCCCTACACGGGGTGCAGTCTGAACCCCGCCAGGACCCTGGGTCCAGCCGTTTGGAACGGCTACTGGAGCCATCATTGGATCTTCTGGTTGGCGCCGATCACCGGTGCCCTGGTCGCGTCTCTTCTCTATCGGTGTCTCTTTCTCTCCAACAGGGGGCAAAGCAGCGGCCAGAACCCTGGGAACCTCAGTGGCGTGGAAACATAATCGTAACACGATTCAGGTATGCACTATGGTCGTCCATACCTGGATCTCTTAGGATCCCTTTTCGGGGAAAACGTTGCGATGCTTTTAATATTCTTTTAGTCGAGACTCGAGAGTTGTATCATATTAGGAGGTATGAAAAGAGAGTTTCAAACTGCAGGAAAAAATTTATTTCAGACCAATTTCGGGTCCTTGAACTCGATAATTTGGTGATCCTCTTCGGTGGGGGGTGACTTGTAACAGACATTATAGCTAGACTGCGGATGTTTATGCATTTATGGGGAAATTGAAATTCTCAGAAAAGTACAGAATGCACTTAATATGCAGAAATATAAGAAATACTTAAAGTAAGATACGAATTATTATATGCAGGGGTGGAGACAACCCTCGAGAAAGCTCCCATTTAATTAATTCTATTAACACTGAAACTACCGAACTGGTCAAAATGACTCATTCGTAATATCTAATAAAAATTGTTACAAATTGACGTGACTGGATTTTTGCAAACCGTGATTTTCTGTACAAGAATGAATAAGCATTTATTCCCATTGCATTAAACATTTCTTCAAATATCTATCGTTTTAATTTCTTTGTCAGTTCAAGTGTCAATAAAAATATGAATTTGCATAAAGATTTGCAGTCCGATTATAACGCAACAATTAATTTTCTCTACTTTAAGTATAGTCCCATACGTTTAAATTGTTTATCCACCGAAGAGTCTCAAGCAAGAATCGGAAGCAATTGAGAGGATCAATTTCTGTAAACACATTTATTACTGTATAGTTCCTAATTTCTTTAAAAAGGAAATAAACGACGGTCTCTGTCAATTTTCAGGTTGCAACGATGCATTCCGGTGAAGGTCCATGGTTCACGATTCCAGCGAGAAATCCTAATCGCGTTCGCGTTTTCTCCAACAGCGAAGAACCGGAAGTGGGACTTCCCTCGGATCTCCAAAGATCAAGAATAATGCCGCGCGAGGAGGAATTCTCTATGATACGCTGATCAAGGACGAATCACTCTTGTACAAAGATTCCATGTAAATTTAATACGCGATCGCCGTAGGTTTCGGTAGCGCGAAGAATGTAAATTATTGCGATCCTCCTCGGTCGCGTTCCTTGCCTTCGAATTCGTTCGGAAAATTCACGTTTGGAAAATTTCCCTTCGAGGATGTTTCAGTATTTTCGTAAAAATTTCCAAAAACTTTAGGTACCTGTTTTGCTGGAAGCTTGGTCACACGCTGCTTCCGTTCGCTGTAAAAGTGTGACCGAAAATTCCGCGTCGAAGCTTCCGTGAGCAAAGTCGGAGCACTTAATTAGCTCCCGAAAAAAATTTTAGCGATTTATTTTTAACACGTTCGCTGCAGGGACGATTACCTATTTTATATTCGTATAAATAAATGGAAACGTTCGGTTTGCTTTTTTAATACATTTTATTCGTATGTAATTAAAAACGTACGTCGAATAAGATAATTAAATGGCGGTGGCGGATGTGTTTATATCAAACTATTTGGTAAAAAGATTTCGCTGTTTCGTTCCATCCGAGAAATGTACAATTTTAAATATAAAAAGTTTTAATTTGCGGGTAAACTTTATTTTCGCGAAACCGTGGCGCCCGTTTGGGAAAATGTGGTCTCGAGAAAATGACGTTAATTGCGTGGACCGCAGCAACTTTGTTAATTTTTCGAGTCCAGTGATAGAAATATTTTGGAGGGCGTATATAATTTCGGAGAATAAAATAGAAAAGGGAATCGATTTTAAAAATTCTGGAAAAGCTGTCCCCCTTTGGACGGGGTAATTTTATCGGCGCGAAACTGGCTAGCGAAAACATCCCTCTTTCCGACGCCGTTTGTCATCGTTGCGGGGGAGGAGTAGCTCCGGCAGACTTGAATTCGTCGCTCGTTAGGTCGGTTGTCTTTCCGGGGAACAACGCGGATGATCCCTCTGGCCGGCCCATTCCGCGTGGAAATTCGAAATAACGGGATTAGCAGCGAACAAGCGCGTTCAGCAAATTACCCGCGGCAGTATCGCTCCGTGAAAACTTTTAATTGTGCCGGGGCTGCATACGCGCGCGCCAAACGAAAATGCCGGCGACTGCAGTTACACGTTCGCTCGACTACCAACGCGTGCACCTCTTTCGACGATAATCGCGCTCGAGGAACGAGTTTCAGAGGCAAGCTCGCGACAACAGACACCTAGAAATAAATTTGATACGTTTTAACATCCGAGACTGTTATTTCGTTGCCCCTGACTCTTCGATTTGTGGCACTTTAAAGGCAACGAAAAAAAAAGAAACGAAAAAACATCGAGTTCTATACCATATTTGAAAATCATCGAAATCGGTGAGGAGTATTTTAAATAATTAAATTATAAATATAAATCTCGATGAAGTTGAAACGATTTTTGTTTTAGCAATGGGTTTAAGTCCATAGCTGTCGTAATGTTGGATCCATCGTTAATATCATCGCCTGTATGGTCTGCCGATGCTATTGCTTGTATCGCGACACATATCAGTGTCTGTAGGTTTTGAAAGAAAGAGATACGTGCTGATAAATGTTTTCCATAGTCTCAGTCAAGATCGCAGGCCAGAGTCCACGGCGCCTTGGGAATCGAACGTGTCCGGTCGTTTTTGAAGATCGAAAATAAACTCTGGACGCGTTGGAGGGGCGGAAGGAAGGTGGCGTCTGCACGTAGGAGGTCGTTGTTGAATCAACCGCGAGAGACCACGTGCCGACGCGATAAAAGTGCGTACGATCTGTTGCTGTTCGCAAACAGTCACGTTTGATCGAGCAGTGCGCGCTGTCTTCCTCGCTGTCGCTCGTTCACGATCCCGATCCCCGCGGTAGATCACTGAATCGATCCATTCGTGCAGCGTGCGAGCCACCGACGCCATGCCCTCCAGCAGACTGTGCACAGGTAAGAAGCGTCGCGGGAATTTCGATCGAAGGCGTCGAGTGAACCGAGTGCGCGATATTTGGCACAGTGATTCGTGGACAAACAAATAATAAGAATAGGTCGTTTGGTACATTCGAACGATTCAACTTTGGACGTAGTTTGGAAATAATCTTTTGGGGAAGATCGAAGGTACAGGAGTCCGTGAGTTCGTTCGTATTTGAATCACGTTTTAATAGATTTTCGAAATATTTTGTTTTAATATTACGCTCTTGTCTACGTGGGGCTTGAAAAAGTGTTTTCGAAAAATGGATATTGGAGTAAAAAATAAAAGAGATTATTCGTGAGGGTAAATATACGATGGAAAATAGTGAAATTTAAATTGCATTGTTTAAAATTCCCAAAAAATACGAACGAACCGCGTTGGAAGATAGTTTTTTTCTTCGAATGCACCAGCGACCGTGATTCGTTATGCAAACTAAGTGCGCGCTCAGTGTTTGATTCAATCGCTTCTGTACAAAGTGTGTCAAGTTTATGAAAAGTACGATTAACGTGCGAACAAAGCATACGTTCACACAACGTTTCAAGTTCGACTGAACGAATTGCAACGGAAATAAAAATCTTTTAAGAATGAAAACACGGCAAATATAGTTGCAGTTTGAAACTGTTCGCCACTCTGCGTTGTGCGCTCGTTCGATCGTCGTAAAAGTTCTTCAACATTGTGGAAAGAGGAAAGACACAGATGTTTCTTTCATTTAATATTTGCTTATCGATGCAAAGCTTTCCAAGAAATACGCATCGTCTCTGACCTCTTCGCATACAGGATTTAGGGACGAACGAAACGTCAAATAAACGATTTGTCAAACTTTTAATCGCGATAGCTCGCGATTGGGTTTGGATTCAGGTTTCTTGTTGAATCATTAGAATACGGAATCTAGAATAGCTTCCTGTCATTTTCTTTGAACCAAATTCGGAGAGCCGATCGAGAGTACACGTTGGAAAGACAGCTGCTGTACATAATGCACGACAGTGACTCGTACAACGCGTTCGCGGGAACGCGTGACGTAGTTCTGAGACTTTCCAACGACTGAACCGGACGATTATGATTCCCGGGAAGTTACCGTGGTGCAAATTCCAGATCGATAGCGCGGAAGACCTTGTGGCTCGTTGTATTTTGATCTCGACGAGCGAACACATGGATCATCGGAAAGTTTAAACGCCATGCGCGTGTTATCAGACGTTAAAAAGACTTTTGTTTCTACGGAATACCGAAAAAAGTAACACCATGAGATTCTGTTCATTATAAAAGCGACGTATGATGCTTTGCATAATTATAAATCATGGTTCCATATTTTTCGTTTTAGTACGAAAGTTGGAAAAATTGTATGTGCATGTTACGAATGAAAAATGAAAAGGGAACGAATAATGTTTCTAAAGAAATTTCAATGGGAAAATGTTTTATAATCGTGTTAACATGACGTGCGGTTATTAAACGAAACGAGAAAAGGATTCGTTATGAAAGTGATTTAACGAACGTAAACATATAAATGCCTCGGTAATAGCAGTGTTACGTTTCTAGACTCGTAAAACCAACGAAACGTTAGGATTTATTGTAGCGCATACTGTGTTTATAACATGATTAATTCGTAAATCTTGGAGACAAATATTTTCGAATCGATGTAACGGTGTCAGCTGATGATAGAGGATTCGTAGCGACGGAAAAATGTTATTCGATGAAAACATCGCGGTTTTTGAGTCATCGACCTGTTTGCGAGTCACGTACAGAGATTCGACGCGAGAGTGGACGTCGATATAATCAGAGCGAACAGATGAGGACTCGTAAAGATAAAAGCAAAAATGTAAATACGCCTCGGAAATATATCTATGTACCAGTTAATTTGTTCAATAGAAGAAACACTTCGGTTGGTCCTACCATTTGGCCATTTTTAGGCCTTCGCTGGATCGTTGACATCTCATCAACCCGAATGTTGACCATTGCCGAGCACTGAATAACCAATAAGCAATTAAAGCCATTGCTACTTAAGGGGTTAGAGCGTTACAAAAGTTCGTCACTTCGATGAATATTTCAGGTTCGTTAAACGGGACGTGGACACGGATGCCTGTTTCTTGTGAAACTTTAATTATTCATCGTTCGAAGTACGGGGATTTTTAAATAGAATTTCAATAGCGCCGTACCAAGGTCGGGGCTGGACAAGAAAGAGAACCGACTTTTCTCGTTTCACGTAACTCCATTTACTACTATGATTCTCCTCCGGTCGTTTGAATGGTCTCCGTCGTGCACCAGACACCCTAACAAATTTTAACATCGACATTTCAAACGCGATACAGCTTCTATTTAATATCCAATAAATAGGCACTTAGAATTTTCTTTCCGAGGAGAGAAAAAACGCGAGATGTTTCACTGATACCGTTTTTGGTAATTTTGCACGATCTTCGACTAAAACATTTCTAAAACCTTTTTTAACGTCACGTCCGTGCTACAACTTGTACCTGGTGTCATCCTAAAACCGATTTCTACCCCTTGCGACACATATTTGACCCTGTTTGATACGCTTGGTTCACAGCAACCCTATCGACTACCTCCGCTATCCCCCCTTTCCACCGAACGCGAAACTCTTGAATCGCTGTTAGAACGTAATCCACGCTTACGAAATTTACACGTGTCAAGGTCGACGTAAACAACGGGAGCAAATGTTATCACTTAACGTCAACCGATAACGCTGCGTCCCACTGTTTGTTCCGTCAGAAAAAGCATTTATTGGGACGAAGTGCAATGGAATTTGTCTTTGAAAATCTCGTCCTGCGTAGCTCTTATCAATCGGTCGTATTTCACACGGTAGCTTTCCAGATTACGATTCCCTTTAGCGATAAGGAGCCTGGTCGTTACCTCGTCGACGTCGACGATTTTTCATCGGGATCCCCGGTTTTTCCGCCAATCGTTCACCGGGATGATCAATGGCTCGTCGCTAATTGGCGACTAATGGGTAATTCGATCGATTTTAATGGCGAAATTTATCGAGTCGCGGTGCGTCCCGACGGCAAACGGGAAAGCTGAAACGATAATACAGTATCGAATGTCTGATCGATAAGGGATGAAAACGAGTGCGCGCAAATAGGCGACGCGTACCGCTAGAAAACCGAGAAAAATTACGCAATTCTGCGTCGGTCGTTCATAAATGTCAAGTGTTTTTCATTTCGTACTGCACGTTGATCTCGCCTCTGTCTAAATTCTCGTACGTCGAACGATACGTTTTTCCAAACGCATTGTTTCCCAGATACTGTTTGTTTTCATTTAAACACACAAAACGAAATGTTATCGAGTGTTTATTTTCAACGATAGTATCCGCTATCTCGCGGCAAATGATAAAAATATTTTCATGATACTCGATAAAGCGACGTCAGAGGCGATCGAAGTCAGAACAAATGATCATGAAATCATTTTAAACATAAATGAGTTTTTGGACTGGTTCAGGACTCCTTTTATCCACAAAAGACAAGGGTGAATATTTTACGAACAGGGAAGGTACGAGGTAGTCTTAGTTAGCCGGACCGAATTCGTTGCAGTTATCCGGGAAATATTGTACTCAGTTTTTAAAGTTAGATTTTTAAAAAAATGCGACGACTTGAGAGGATAGTCTGAAACCTCGTTGCAAGAATGCAATTCCATCGGACGCGTAGCACGGTGAGCTAATGAAAATTGGTTGTAGAAGAACCTTGAGGGCAGAAAAGAAAAGACGACGACTCGCGGCGTCGTGCTCGGGCAACCTGCCACGAAGCCATTAGTCAATTTGTGCTCGAACTGTACACCGTCCAGTATATCTAACGGCGTTCATTCCTCTGATAGGCAGATTATACGGACAAATTGCCGGGTAATCTCTCGCTGGCGTTTCTATGGAATCGGTCGATTGTATGCAGATCGTAGATTAAGACTTCGTTATAACCTTGGACCACCTAGGAGCTTGCCAAAAGAAACCCTCAAAATTCGTTTTCAACGATCTGTTGACCGGAGAGAATCTTGCTCTCGTGATAAAGAGTTTTCGAAAATCGTCTCTCGGAAGGATTTCGAAACGTCACGCGCGAGCCACGCTGTCTCAAAATTTTTAATCCACCCGTCTCTTATCTCCGTTCTCTTTCCTGAACGGGCTCGAATCAAAGTCAGCGATAAAAATGTGTCTCGACAGTGACCGAAGAAATGCTCGAACCGCCTTCTGTTTGCGAGCGAAACGAAACGGCGGGAATAAATTACGCGTAATTGCATTGTGTCGAGAGAATCGAGGGCAATTATGCATTCGTCGACGCAAAAGCGAACGCGGAAGGTATGTTAATTGTTTGTGCGAGTCGGGCTTAAGTGTACCTCGAAATTGAGAGAGATAAATTGAAGAGTTGAATAGTTTTCTCGATTCCAGCGCGAACAAAGACAAGGCACGAGCTCCGCTGGAAAAAGGAGAATTAATTTTGATAATCTGTGTCGAAAACACAGGATCTGCATAGATCTACACAGATCCTACACAGAAAACTAATTTTTATTAAATTGGTTAAAAATAGATGTACGCATCTTGTACGGCGCGCCCCAGTATGAGTTATAGCCGAGAAATGGCGGGGGAAGCATAAAATTATGGACGAAGCGCCAAGAATCAAATAAAAGAGAAACATTTACAATGGAACTGGCATGCAGATGTGCACGTTCGTAATCGTGATTTTTTAATTAGAAGCGCGGAAAATGTGTTTGTTCGCAATCGTGCTCCTCTGTATAATAGGATACCAGCTTGTTACGTAATGCGTTTAATATCGCAACGTTTTCCATCGCGATCGGGAATCCGTCTAGGAAAAAAGACAATCGTGCGCGCCGGCTTATTATCTAAATGGAACATTCGTTACTATCGATAAGAGGAATCGATTAATCCCGCGGATTAATTTAGCGCGATGGTTATTTCTATAGGTCGGGCTGTAGAAGTCACGACGTGACCGACGATTTTCACGGTTCGCTTATTGTTAGCCTTGGAAATTAACGTTCTCCGACATAATTGCAAGACAATTTTCTTTTAAAAATGATTCAAGACTTGCTCGTATCAATTGTTCATCGTATTACGATTCCATTTGTATCTCTTTTATTTAAGACAATCGTGAAATTCAAAGACCAGAATCTTAACTATTCGTTTATTGTTTGCTCGTTAATATTAATATATCTCTATGTGCTTTGCAATAATGCACGATTCCACGAATTTCATCGAAGAATAATAAATATATTTTCCAAGTTTGCGATCATTTTCGCGGTGCAAAAATGACAGAAGCGACCGACCATGGGGTGAAAAAAAACGATTTCACGCTCGTCGTTGGCCCCGGGTGCATCGAAAGCGATCCCGAACAGCGCGAGGGAACGAAACGAATGATTTTTCCGCGGAACACGTCCACCTATTTGCATTTTGTATAACCGGGCAGCGTGTATTGCAAACCGCGAATTCGCCTTTCTGGCCCCGAATACACGGAAAGTAATCAGGGATGCACGCTCATTGGAAGAGTGCACTGTGATTGATGCACCTGGTCTGTCCATGCACTCGCTGTTGGGCCGATCGACTGCTCGCTTTGATGAAAATATCCATATCTGTGGAAATTGGATTCGCATGGACATCGTCGGCACAATTCGCGATTTCGTTATCTGCAATCACCGACAATCTCGGTCCTCGCGCAGAACGATCGACCCTATCGAACGAGACTCGACGTTACGAATCGTTCGACTGCTCGATACGTGTTTCGATTCGCCGTCAACGTTAACATTCTCGTCGTTTAGCCCTCGTCGGATATGGTACAAAATTCAACAGTTTTTTCGTATCTAGAGACGCCCTCGACGTTTGTCTAAATCATGGTGCTGTCGTATACGATTTTACAAGTATTTATTTATTTATTTAATGCACGTTTAGTAGACTTACGATGGCTTCCATATAGTGAGTTACAATTACTCGTTCTCTTATAATCCGATAATCTAGTAAACTTAATTTCAAAACCCGTTACGCTTCGTTTGTCACTTGAAAACAATTTGTTTCCGTTTTCTGTGGATCTACGACTAAGTTTTCCGAGTTGAATTATCGGCATAACGATTCCGAACGTATTGTTAGGAACAAGTATATCTTCTGACGCTTGCCCGAGGGTAGGCGCACCTGCGACGCAAGAAATTACGCGGTGGAAAAAAAAAACAAAGAACAGTTGGAAACTGCATTATCTGAATTAAGGCCGTCTCGTCGGTCACTGTCGGAAAATATTAGCGATAGTTCAACAAAAAATCAATCGATCGCGCGGAGGCGGCGAGTACTGAACATGCAAATACCTTAACGCGAGGTTTTTTGAAAATATCATTCGAATAAACCCTCTGTCATCAACGAAATATGCTTTTCCATCGATCCCAACAAGATTTCTCAAATTTAATAATATTTCAGGTGTTTTAAAATAGATTATACAAGTAAATACTTCGACGAATCAGTTCACAATCGTCTGCGAGGATAAGTTTTCGTCCCGTGGACTTTGGTATAGCAATTTGTACACGTTCGTAAATTTTGGGGACCGGGTTTACGAACTGTGGGACTCGCGTGCGCTGTTCCTCCATCTTGGATGGGACGGACGTGTACCGTAGAGTAATTTTGGGCCCCCGTACGAGGCACGGTGCCCGAAAACGCGAGATTTATGACGTTCGCGGGCCCGCGTTACGGTGCATCGACGAATTCCATGCATCGGGACTGGATTCCACACTACGCAACCACCACGAAACGATTTTATGACCGGTTCCGAACGATTCCCGTGAATTTAAACGCGACTCGTTCGGACTACCTTGACTCAAATACCGGGATACGTGGTTCGAATCGTGATCAAGGCTACTCCGTCCGCTTTTTTTTTAACCAACTCTCGACCCTGGGTGCAATTAGCGATGGCTGTAAGTTCGCTGATTCGGTCTCTGGGCCCTCGTGGTTCATCTTAACACCGAAACGGCGCGTTTTGAGTGCACAAAGAATTCAGTCGCATTGTTATCGATGCATCCAAATGATTCAATGTACGAAAATAACGGTAAGGACTCGTGCACGCGTGCAATATTGGAAAATTTGAGAAGGTTATGGGTATCAACGTAGTTTTACGTCGCTAGATGCAAAGATACAGTACAATATCTTATTCATCGTGTGTCTTGCACAATAAACTAACAAGATAACGTCTTGCGACGTCAGTGACCGGTTTATGTACTTACAAATCTTTGTTGTGGACAACAGAAAACATTCGAAACTCCGATAAAATAATATATATCGCTCGACGAAACTACGTGACTAATTAAAACTGCTGAAATAGTCTCGTAACTTCATTATTATACCGAGAAAAAAAGTTACGGGACGCTGACCCCGAATCACTATCGAAGCACGCAAATTAACCGAGATATGTTAGTGGTATTAAGACATTTCTGCAACGTCTAATAGTGTTTTTGGGATCAATTTAATTTATTATTCACATTAATCGAGACCTAGCTGTGCTTTGAACATGAATAACAAGATTCTTGACAAAAATATTCCACCATTAGCCTTTTCGGGCCAGCTAGATCTCGTTGTCACGATAGTTGAATAGAGATAAATGCGTGTTTAACAGTTTTTAGGGTCGATCGAATTTATTATTCGCGCTAATCGAGACCTAGCTGTGCTTCAAACATAAATAGCAGGATACTTGAGAAAAATATTCCATCGATCATTAGCCTTCGGATCCACGATCCTCCTCCTCTTTCGAACCTGCCTTCCTGTCGATGAATCTCGAGGAAGATTACATTGTATCGCACTTCGAGGATAAAAACGAATTGCCGGAAATCATTACTCGAGCTCGTCCCGCGAGATTCATCTCGAATTTTCTCGCCTCCTCGTCGGAAATTTCAGCCGAGGCGGACTTTGTCCAGCTCGACACGGACTCCGTCGATGCTCGATCGTACGTCGATCGAATTTTGATAAGATTAACAGGGAAACGCGCTCTTTTCGGCGATGTTTACGCGCGGTTATCTCTATCTGCTCGTCGAACGATGTACAGAGGAACACTCGTGCACGTCGAATAGACCGCGAATAATCCAGTCGCGAGCAGACTCGTGTTAACGCGTGCGATTCGCGTACGTCCTTCGCTGAGTCAACCTCGCAGAGTCAACTGTTCCGGGAGCTTACTCCGTCGGTGGAAGTCGGTTCGCCTACACGTCGACACGCAGGAGCAACGAATAATGTGTCGAGGGCACGGTAAGATCCGTGAATTGATTCTTTTTTTTTGGACGAAATTCTTCGCCCGGTTCCCTCGAGGAACCCAGGAGGATCGAGGAAAGTGAAATTGTGCCGAAAGTGCGAAAAAAAGTGTTTTCCCGGCGTGTTTACCGAGTTCACGATGCACCTAGTTCATCGAATTCTTCGAGCACCTTCATTTTAACGCGATGTTACGTTCTCCGTTGCGCAAGATCAAAGGATCCCTCATCGCCTTTCAATCTGTATATTTGTATTGCCGTGTTCTATACGTCGTTATCCAGTGTGTTTGCTTATTTTATATTTTCCCTAGATCTTCTATTTCAGAAGTTCCCCAAGAAAGAAAAGCAATTTCGCGTCTAGCTTTTTAAAATGATTTTTATGCCTCCTGTAGACGTAGGCAGATGTCAGTCGTAGACAGTTCTTAAACAGGATTGGAAAAAAACCTGCTCAGACATCGTTGGCACAATGATTTCACCATCGACGTTGCTTACAGAGCGCAACGTGCTTAGGAAATAATTTCGTTTGAAAAACAGCTTTGGGCAATGCGTTGTTTTATGGTTGTTCGACTCCTGGGAACGGTGATTCGAACCTTTCCATCGGCGAAATTGCAAATTTTTAGCGTCGTTAAAACGACGAAGCGATAATTAGTCGTAGAAAAAAGTTAATTCGCGAGGTAAATAATGATGTTTTGTACGGGAATGATGCCTTTCGAGTAAACGACGTGGTAATGATTTATATAAATGGCAGGTACAGAGGTTGCCAACAGGTTGCCCGAAGTGTGTCAGAAAATATGAAACGAAAATTTGATGTTCTTCGTTAAACTATGACTAATCTATTGATGAATACATTTCTCGATGCATAGATAAGATATTTCCCGAAACACGTGTCACTTCAAACAATGATATAACACGTTTACCATCGCGAATAGATGAACGTTTCTGTTATTTTCACAGTTAAACATTATTTTTACTCGAGCCTGTTATATATTTATAGTTTGTGGACTGTCACGTTGCATCTCTTGCAGTATCTTTTCTCCCCTCCGTTTTATATTATTTTGAAGTATGGATTCTCCTAGAAGATTTTCTCTTTATGAAAGTTGTCTTTTATTATTGGTTCAGTTTTAGTAGTGTTTTATTGGGTACTTAGATACTTATGTACAGTTCTTTTACACCACATATATGGTTTCACAATTTTTCTCTTTTCTCTCTTTTCTTACAACTCAACAACATCTTAACTCTAGTTACATATAAAAAAAATATAGAAAATTATAAAACGTTATATAAATATATATCTAATTCTATAATCCAGTAGGAACCTGTTTTTTTTTTGGTATCGTCAATTGTTTCTATCTACTCGATCTTCTATCTTCGATCTTAAAGAGTTTACTGGGCGATCAAGATCGTCGGATCAGGAAAGTACGCAACCTGAAAGCGCGCAATTATTCAACATTTTATTATAATTCCGCTCTTCCAAATACAGGTATATTTTGTACACGCGTTTTTCCGTGTTCTAAAAATAGTATCGAAATCCAAGCATCCTCGCATCTTTTTAAAAAACATATAATTCTATTAATAAAGAAAATAGAAGCCATAGTAGATACTAGTGAAATTTTTTTTATATTCCGTGCCATGACTGAGCGAAATACTATGTCTCATGTAAATTCAAGTTATCGAAGTTAAAAATAACCGGACGTTCCATATGTATCGGAATCATAATTATACATACACCACGATCGAAATTATCGAATCGGAATCACAACGCGATTTATCGTAGTTCCTCTACGATCGAACCCGTTTAAATTATTGTTTGTCGAAGGATCATTGGGCTAGTTGTCAACGTAGAATTCAAATTGTTCGATGATAAAGTAGACGATTCACGATTTCAACGACTGTTCCGTTTTTCCAGGTTTCAAGAAACTGATGCAAGGCGAAGGCGGGTTGAAGAACATCGTGTTGGTAGCCCTGGCTGAGATGATAGGCACCTCGATGCTGGTCCTGATGGGATGTATGGGATGCGTCGGAAGCCTCGGCGTGATTCCATCTCACTTTCAGACTTCGATAACCTTCGGTTTAGCCGTGATGGTTGTGATTCAGGTCGGTGGGGATCCATAAAAGAAGTTTCTTAAGGCTTCTTAATGGGATTAATCGAGCTTTCGAGCCCAATGCCGCGGCAGTTCGCGTACGAAGATATATTCGCAACGATCGCCTCCGTTTAGCTTGATTTCACTTTGTTTCTGATTTCGTTTGCAGTCCGTTGGACACATCAGCCAAGCTCACGTTAATCCAGCGATCACTGTGGGGGCGATCGTACTTGGAAAGAAGACTCTCTCGGAGGGTTTGATCTACTTGTTGTCCCAGATGATCGGCGCTATCGTCGGATTTGGAATTCTAAGGGTTGGTATATCTCGAACTATTCGAGTGTTAAATAATCGAATAAGAGAAGGAAAAGAAATCGTTACAAAGTAAACTTAAGCGATAGTATACTCGAGGTTAACTTGATTTTCGATAACACGTTTCAGCGTAGTCAGAACTTTACCCTCGGCGCGTACTGCTTATCGAGGTTCACGACCTTTGTCCAATCTTCGATTCAAAAATGTCGTACGGGAATTTACGCAACGCTCACCATTTCTAACATCGTGGTGTTTTTACGATGATCACGAAAAATCAATGTCCATCCTGGTCTAGGAGCACACTCGATCTTCGACAGGCTAAAGTGGGACACTCCGTGCACGATATCGACAATAATCACGCGTAAAGTCGATAAAAGAAACCAAAGAATCGCAACAATAATTAACACTGTTTCATTAATTTCGTAAGATTAGATACTGTGCCCGAGAGCTTGTCGAACCAAGATTAAAACGAGACACTTTATACGATACTCTGGCACTCGGGACCATAGTTAACACAATTTTAATTGTTTTACGAGACAAATGGTTTCCATCGCGCCATAATTTTAGAAAATGTGACAAACAAATTGTATTTGAGTATCCAACTATAGAAAAATTGTCAAATCCTAGTATATACCGCGCTATTATAGCAAATTTTACGTTTATCGTATCGTTGCATGTGTCAAATTGTAAACGTTACAAGACTTTAACGATCGTTTATCGTTTACAAAGTTTACGTTCTCGGAACTCTCGCGCATTATAATTATCGAACGTGATATTTATAAACTAATCGGACGCGTTGCTCGAATTTACTAACGGATCTTTATTAAGAGTATTTATAAAAACAACTCTATCCATTTCTGGCAACAGATTATCTTGAGAATCGACATTTATTTCCAAGTATCGTGCAATTCGTTGACATTTCTCGCGTTCCAGTTGGTGACGCCGTCAGATCATCTGACGGCCAAAGGCGTGGCCGAATTGGACTCGTTTTGCGTGACCGATCTTCACGCGGATCTGTCGGCCATCCAAGGGCTTCTTCTCGAGGGCATATCCACCGGTATATTGATGCTGGTCGCGTGTGGCGTTTGGGACAAGAGGAGCGTAAAGAACACCGACTCCTTATCGCTTAGATTCGGTCTGACCGTCTCTGCGCTGGCTCTGGCCTTTGGTCCTTATACGGGTTGCAGTATGAACCCTGCCAGATCGCTGGGCCCGGCTATCTGGAACAACCAATGGACCCATCACTGGATCTACTGGTTCGGACCCATCGGTGGTGCCCTTCTCTCCGCCTTCATGTACAAAACCACTTTTGGTGTGCCGGACGACGAGGAAGAGGACACTATTCCGGAAGCTGTTGCCTTGAGCACCGTAGATACTCAAAAAGCAGAGGTGAGATCACGAAACGTGTCGAAAGAAACTGTTACTGGTGTCTCTGCAACCCTGGTCCAAACGGAAGACGAGTTGAAATCGGTCGAAATCGAAGACAGCCATTTTTGTTTGGCGTGAAATCGCCATCTTTTTTTAGTATCAGTCAGCCGCCTGCGAATTAAAGGAGATTATTTCATTTCATTATTTTATTTATAAATGCCACGAGAAGAGCAGAGAATCAATTTCTGGGCCTATTATAAACATTTCGCTTAGAATTCGGGCGCTAAATTTTTGTTTGGTGCAAAATCGTCATCTTTCTATGAGGGAGGGATCACACAGCTGCCTGAGAATCGTAGAAGATTATTCCCATACTTAAAATCTAATTAAACCATTTACAAATGCCACGAGAAGAGCAGAAAATTAATTTCCGGACCTATTATAAACATTTTGCTTAGAATTCGATTGCCAACACGGGTTTTCGTGGATTTCGCTAACATTCAGGGTTTGTGTGGCTGTGCTAGCAAAAATATCGATTTGCATGCGCGTACGCGTAGGCTAACCGCCAGCAAATTGAAGTACGCGCAATTTTCGCGGGAACGACAGGTTCTATCACAACGATATTGCTTTTTAACTGGGTCTCCTGTTCGACTCGAAACGAGACATTAAAATAACCGTGGTACGAGGCCCGCCAGCCTTTATCGTGTAAACGTCATGCGCACCGTGCATCAGGGGTTTTCGCATGACGCGGATTATCTTGTAAGGGCTGGCCATAAAAGTCGACGATAAATCGTTGGTCGGGTCTGGGAAGTTCGGTGAAACTGGTTTTACGGGGCGGCTGGATTTAAGATCCACGGTTTACCGTCGATTGGGAACCTTAACGCGGATCAAGAGAAAGTCGTTTCGGGGATAGCGTGTCTTACACCCGTCGCTCAACTTCTTATTCTATGGCTTCTTTGTGCTTGGTGTCGCAAATTGCGCGAGAAACGTCGTCAGTTCGATCTTACGTTAAAACTGACTATGGCGAGGTCTCGATTCGTGAGATCGATTAGACGAAGTTCCCTTAACAGTGGACGCTCGAAGCTTCCATTTTTTATAATTTTAGAAACTGTTCGATCTAACGTTTGTTGTGGTATTTATTTTTAGGAATCAGAAGACCTCTGTCCCTTAAATCTTTTTTATAATCGCGATTTCCTATTTCGATCAAAGCTCACCGAGCCTCGTTCCTTTCTCCTGTTGTAGGCTTGATCCGAACGGAGGGCGGATCGATCGAAGGCGTCCTGGGTACAGGATCGATCGACACTTTTTTCGAGAAACCACAAGAGATTAAGCATTTAATGGAGGACAGCCGCTCTCGAAGCCCACGGACGATCCAATGTTCGCTCGAACGAGGCAGAGTCGATAGGACGGAGCTTGGAAGCTCGTTTATCGCTTCTCGAAACAAACATCCTACACATACACGACCAATCGCATAACCAGGATCAACTCACGCGATCCTATCGTCTCAGCGTTGTTCGTTAATTTCGCGAAATCACCAGACTGTCACTGAAATCGCTCGTCTCGTTCGTCCTTTGCCTCGTGAGTACAGTAGTCCTTCGCTTAAAGACAGAATTGACGGTTCTTCGTTGACCCGAGCGACCTGCGGCTCGATTAAAAACCCTCGGTGCTGCAAATCAAAAACTTGTTTACTTTTTCACCGGTAACTTTTGTTCTTTGGGAGCTATTACAATTTTTTGTAATAAAAATAGTCTAAATTCGAACTAGTTTTCGGTAGAAACTACGAAGTTACGAATTCGTACGTTGAAGTCTCCGTTCACTGTCCTCTTCGAACAACTGTAACTGAAAATATGTTTTCGGTCTTTAAGCGAGGTATTAATACTTCGATACAGTGGTTCTCAACCTTTGGCGTAACGGTCAAAGCAAGGAACAATGTACAATCGCGCGTAATTGTATAGGCTGCTCTTGCTGTTACGTTTAGAGAGACACGTTCAGTGTTGATTTCGTGAACGGAAAATCACTGTACCGATTCATTTCATCGTCGCCGCGTTAGTCTGTTTATTTTCTACGTTACACGGATTCGAGATGACCATTGCGAGGTTTGAATACACTTTGTAACGGACCGATCAAACGCCCCTGCGTCGAGCGTGCCATTTGAACCGGATAAACGCGTCGCAAACAATAGGTACGCATGTCGTCCGTCTGTTATATTGTACAAAATCGTCACACTTTTGAATCTTGCAATTATCCCGCTTATGTGTGTCGGATTTCGGGCGAATCGATCGTTGTAACATTAATTCGCGAGCTTTATGGAGGCTCGCGCGTAACAATGCGCTCGGATATTAATTATCCCCCCGGTTGGATATCGTGCGCAATTAATTTTACACGAATCGACATTCATCCCTTAGGCGATACAGAAAAATAAAATAAATTAATATATTGTTTTTCCACGCGTGTCGACAATTTAAATCCTAAATACTTTCGATGGAATTTCCCCTTAGCACGTAGGATTTCGTTTAGGAATTTCACGTAAAAGTGAAACGATCGGCGATTCGATATTCGCAAGTTAGAAACGTTTCTCCCGCTGAGCAGCCAAGTATGCCGGTCGGCCTACGTTGCAGGCGTTTCATATTAATTTCGCTGGCACTTGCAATCAAATCAGTCGAACGCAGGTAGGTATTTCTTCGATTCTTTAAACGAGAAAAAAAGATTATTTGAAACCCGCGTATGAAGGGGGAAAAATTCAAACGGGGTAATTTCTGATTTTATAATCCAGACCATGGAAGATTGTGGAGGAGAAAAATCGCGGCATCCTCGTTTCAAGAATCGCCTGGGAGATTGGCCGTTTTCGCGGCGGCGAAACGGTACACATTGCGTTAACAATTACCAATCGACCTAGTAGTAAAAAATTAATTTCCGCCAGCTACAGGATCGATCCGGGCAGATAGCTTTTCGGGTTTTCTATTACGAATGAAAATCTCCATCCGACGAGAGGGAAATAGAGGGGCATAGTGGAGGGAGGGGGCTGGGGACGCGCTCAATTCCATTTAGAAAAAATAAAAAAAAACACACGCGTACGGACACAACTGGCCCGATTGCCTCGAAAACACCCGGTCAAATATTAAAGGTTCGCGTACATTCGATCTATCCGTCGTTTGATAGGCTCGCCTCCGGTGGATCGATTGATTCGACCAGTGCCTGGCTTGAATAAAGCTGCGGAAAACAACGAGCAAACGGGGTATCGTTTTGTTGGGAATATCGTGATCATAACGCGAGCTACGTCGCTATCGGCACGTTAAAGCAATGAGCTCGAATAAAATGTACAACCCATGGGAGCGGAACCAACAGTTTTTGCTCGATAGCACGGGCCGATGTGACCCGCGCGACGCTTATAAAGCGATTTGCAATCGCTACGTCGCGACATCGATTCGAGACGGATGGTTCGTCGACCGCTTTTTCGTTTCGCGCGGTGGCTTAAATGCCGACGGGGTTACTTTTTGTCGCGATCTTGGCGATAATTGACCTTTCACGGAGCGACTCCGTGCCTTGGATCGGTTGTTAAATGAAAATACAGCCCGAGATCAGAATGAAAACACTCGAGAGAAAACGTCCTTACTTGTAATGGTCCTTGGAGTAGAGGAGGTGCCATTTACTTACCTTTCTTGGCGGATAACAAGCTTGTGATCCTCGAAGTAAATAAAGTAGACCCAGACATTGATCTCGAATTGGTTCTGACAATCGAAACTTCCTGGTGTTGCTGACGCGACAAATAGATGAAGGAAAATGTATCATCTGTAGGTATTCTCCATAATTTTCTACGATGTTCTCGAGGTCCGAGATTTCCCCGGCAATAATACCGCAGCTTCGCGTAGAAGTATTTTATGTATTAGTACAAAGTAGAGTCTCCAAATAGATCCATCTCCTCACGCGTTAGACATTGTTGCCCGTGCATTGCCTTTCATCTGCTCGTCAAACGTTATGTTTCTAGTAGTGCCATCCTTTCGAGATCAGATCTCGAGTTGTGTTAAATGCACGGAGTAGAGTCCCTAAGTAGAGCCAACCCCTCGTACGCCAGACATCAATGCCTTGGATCCTCGAGTAGCGACACACTGTCAAGGATCAGACCTCGAGTAATCCTGAACGTTGAAAGTAGAAGCTTGAAATAGTGGCAAATATTTAATGTAGAAACCTCAATTAGTGCTGAATGCACAAAGTTCAGACCTCAAACGAAAACCTCGACTATCAGAAAGTTAAAACTATTTTTCATATCCCTCTTTTTCGAGATTTTAATCCAGAGAAGAATCTTGGAAAGAAGGCGTATTTCGACGGGGAAAATTAAGAAATAGAAAAGTGCCCGCCCACTTCTTCTAAGAAGAACATGCAAAATGACTAAAAATGTAGCTGCATTTGTTGTTTCCGTCTTAGCCTCGTCGAGCTCGTCGTTCTCGCTGGTTACGTGCCGTCCGTGGAAGCGGTAAGCAAAAGTGAGAAATAAGAAACGAGGAGGCTGGGTGGCCAAGCACGAACAGTTGGAAGAAACGTGGGAGGAGGAGGGTGGAGGAGCTCGGCGAGCATTAAGACCAGATTGAAAATTGAATTATTAACGAGCGAGCTGACGCTGTGCATGTAAATCATACGGAAATATTACTTTTCTTTCCGGCGGAAAAATGTATGGCGCCATCCGCATGCAGTCTCTTCTGCGACAAACCGTTTCTACTTTCTCCGTATCCGTTCCAGACACTTAGCTTTTTTTTTCTCTTTTCTCCTTGCGCTTCTAAATCCTCGTCTAATTTTCTGCCCCGGGGTAACGAGCTATTGTCCTCCCGGGGGCAACCTCCACCCGCCCGTGCCCGTGATCTATGTCCTTTATCCGTTCGCCTCTCCGCGAACAGTAATTTTATGTTAATTGAATAATAAATAATGAACGTTTATCGTCGGGAACGCGACGAGAGCCGCTACTCTTTCGATGCACGGAGAATCGATCACTGAATTTCAATTCGAATTATTGTTCCACGACGACCTATCCACAGAAATCGGGGCACGGAATTCGGTCGGTTCGAAAAACCCGATGGAGCTGATATTCTCTTATATCTGAGTCGCTACCTTGATAGTGACTTGTTTTCGAGCTTCTAATTCTAGCTTCTAAAATAATCCCAAAAATTAACGACATTCTGGACGAACGCGAATGAATTCTGAACGACGCGTTGTCATTGAAAATTATCTCCATTGTCGGGGAACAGACGCGGAGAGAATGATCGATAACGAGTCTTGATCTAATTGCCCGTACGGGCGCACAAAAGTCGGGCTAAATCGCTCTCGAGGAGGCAGAAAGAGTAAAACCGACGGGACGCGTTTGAATATCTGCGATCGGTAGAGCTCAAGAGCACGTGTAATTGTCTATTGTAGGCTGGTCTGAGAATTCACAAAATATCGGTCTGTTTCCTTTGACGATAGAAGAGTCGTTTAGAAAGCGTGACGAACAATCCGATATCGAGCGGGGAGAGTGCTGCGGTCCAATTATACGGAAAATCTCGTGACGTTACGTTCCGTCGATCATATTTGCTCATTCTATTTTTCTTTCGACGATGAAGTTTCGCGAACGATCGGTCCGGGGAACGAAAACTTTTCCATCGCGACTATTTTGTTGATTGCCGTCGAGTTCCCGGGTATTATTTCGCGAGCGTGTTGTGGAAATATTATTGCGCGGATTGTGAATTCGATATTCATTGGTTTTCGAAACGATTCTTCGTAACAAAAAGAAAACGCGTTGTCATCGAGCGAAGAATCGACGTAAAGAAATTCTTCAGCAGCTGCAGACTTTATTGCACCTCATTTTTGTCAGTGTCTCGATAATGACTGTAAATTCAATTCGATCCAATAATATTCGTGTTCAACTATTACTCAATTGTTTCCTTTGTATGAACCATCTAGATATTTAAGAAATCACTTTCTATTTGTAGAATACACAGTTTACACAGAATTGTGTAAATAGAATGATTGGTAATGCAAATTGTGTACACACTAAAACAGATTTAATTGAACAATCACTAGAAAGTCTAAAATTATCCTTGCAACATATTGTAAATTAATTTATTTTTGTTAAATTCGCTAAGAGATAATGTTTGACTATGTAAAATCCACATCTGTAGTTCCTTACATATTATATTTTTGTACTACAGAGTTTAATCCCGTTAATAAATGAATAATAATAATAATAATAATAAAGATCGAAGGAAGAATAAGTGTAAAATTCCGAGATCCGACCAGAGACTCTTAGTAGATAGTTCTTCGACGAGGAGGCTTCCGATAAATATATTAACTAATCAAATGATTTTCCCGCTTTATCACGATTGCCTAGTGTTGACGCGATGCTATTGGTAACAGCATTTAGTGGATTGTTCTAACAGCAGATGAAGTGCATATCAGACGCTGTATTCTCTTCGAATTTTAACAAAGAAACTTGCTAAGAAAGCATGCGAATCCATTAGCCTTTTTTTTGCAAAGGTGATGTGTCGTATGATGTGTTTGGTCCAGTGCGCGTCAGCCTAATTTCGAATATCCTCGAATGGAGCCAAGCACCCTTCGCCAGCTACGCGCCTGCGCAGAACGTGGCTCTCGCTTTCTCCCACCCTCGCCATCGGTATGGCGCCTGTCGTGCGTCTCCCTTGCTCGTCAGTTCCCGCGCAGTCTCCTCGCGGCAAACGTACGTCACCGATTTCCCCTCTTCTCATTCTCTCTCTGTCTCTCTGTCTGTCTCCCCCTTCCCGTCGTCGTTCTGACAGTTGGTGGGGCGCGGGTGAACGCGGTCGGACAACAGTCCTTCCGCGGATTGCGGATATTGTGTCGGGAAGCTTCGCGCCACGGTGTCCTTAACTGTCGTGTTCCTGCGACATTGCGGAGCAGAGTCGTGGTGAGCGGTTCGGTTCCTTCGTTTCCTTTCGTCCGTTGGAACCTTTGACCGGGCAGAACCCAGTTCAGGGACGTCTCGACCGTGTTCTCGCAGTGTTCCCTGTGTCTCCCTCTTTCTCTCACTCTTTCGAGACTGTTCCTCTCAGGACTTCGAAAGGATCTGGCGACACCGGTTGCAAGGTTAGGTTCGCGACTGTCACGTCCGCGTGTTCTCGACCAAGACTCGTAGCTTTCGCGAAGTGTTTAACCCGTTCATGTACCATAGTGAAAACAGTGATCGACGGCGTGTTGTTCGCGAGTGCTGAAAGTCTTCGATTGAAGAGGAACGCGTGCTACGCCGAGCCTCGACGTGCCCGTTTCGGAGCTGATCTCGGGCGCCTACCACGCCTGGAATCTCTCGGTGAGCGGCAAATGAATATTGTTTGATCTCGCGAGATCCATACGTACGTTTTCTCGTGGCGTTTTCGGTTCGTCGTGTTCCGACGACGCGACGCTGTGAGCCGCTCTTCGGTCGATCGTTCCTCCCCTGTCTTGTTTGTTTTTCTTCTTCGCGAGTAGTCGAGTAGTATTGGCCACCACATGCACGCCGTTGGCGTTTTCTTTTCGTCCGTCTCGGTTTGTTTATACGTTGTGCCCATCGATGTCGGACCGATCGTTCGGAATAAATTTTGTTCTTTTTTGCGCGTGTACGAACGAATTTAAATGTTTTTCTCTCGAATACTCCTTCGATTTTAACTCGTTTACCTACGAAACAATATTCTACCTTTTTCCGGGGATAGAAGATTTTTATGATAAACATCGGCGATGAAAGGGACCGATCGCGGGGATAGACGGAAGTTCATTTCTCCGATCTAACGGTGAAACGTGTAACGAAGTCGAATCATCTTCGCTTGTTCGCCGGTTCTGGACTCCTCGGGACTCGGTATTAATTAACTTTTCTGACAAGTTATTAGCGCGACGAGATCAAAGGCGCCATGGGTATTACTCTTGGCCCTCGTTTTTTTTTCTCTTTCACTCCCTGCTCCGCCTAGATCCGTCGAACCATGGCGTACAATTAAGATGACCATCGCGTGCCTAGGTGTTCGCGGTAATTACCTTGTTTACAAAACTGTGTTGGCAAACGCGTTACCAAACCAAGGGATTCCTGATCTATTACTGTGCGTTATGTTTTTCTATATAATTGTGTACCGTTCGAAACGACAGGGAGGCCAGGTTTGAAAGCGAAAAGCCATCAAGGTACACGCGTGTGCGTTTCGTACGAACAACTTTCAATTATTTTGCGCATCGCGGCGCTCATTATAAAACAGTGGTTTTTAGGTGCTACTATCGATCACTTTACGATGTTGAAATTGCAAAAATTAATCTCTCTTCTAGATGGACAGTTAGCTATGCGTCAAAATGGAGCCAAAGCCCTCAGAATTTAACAACCGTACAAATTTATTTTTCTCGTATCATGGCGAACCTGCCATTTGTCTCGAGTGCAGAGTTTGTGCTTTCCTTTTAGTGATCTTGAACAAGATCCAGGAACCACTAACCCAAAATACCTGAACCTCGATATCTTACCGAGGAAATTGAATGTGCAAGGTTGTACAAATATTTGAGAAAATTTTGTGAAAAGGACTGTTTCTTTAGGATAGTCTATCGAGTTATTGCAAAAAGGAATGCAACGAAATAATCGTCGAGCAATAGTCTTCAAGAGTCCCTTGTGCGCTCGAAAGTTTCTTTGTTTGGGTGGCGGCTTTTGTCGAAACCTCCCCCGTTCGCGAGGCACCTGCGCCTGCCAGGGTTTTTGCGTTCTTTCACCTGTAGTACGCACACCTGTCTTTAAAACCGTCCGTGGAATCGTAAGTTCGATAATTTTAGACGTTCTCTTCTTGCTCCTCTTTCCTCATTTTAAACGTTTAAAAATGTAGTCGACACGAAAGTTGCACTATTCGATGCTTTATTTGTTTCACTTGTTAGGTGGGAAAAGCGGTAAGAAAGTAGGTGATATTGCACGTTTCGTGGAGCGTTTGATTCCGGAAATAACAGGTGAAACTATAATGGAAATAACCGCGTGTCTCGATCGAAAATAACCTACCATTTCTTTTTCATCGGACTTTCACTGACTCTCGTAGAAATTGTCTCCAAAACACATTTAGTTCAATCAATTATCTTAATTTCTGTTCTCGACTGCTGATACGCTGCTGAATACCGGGCAAATTAATCTTAAATAAATGAATACGATCGATTCTGAAGCTCTTCTTTCTTTTTCCTCTTCGTGGAATAATACATGACTAATTTACGACGTTTTCACATAGTTTAAATTCTTTTATTCGGTCCTGTTCCAGATAGCGTTCTGTATCTAACTTCCTATTTACGTAACATCGTATCTCTGATGACACGGAACAAACAAAATTCTTCAAGCTCCTGATACTTTCTATTTTTATTTCACCTACTGTAGGTTGTTTATGTTTTGTTCGTTATTCAAAAGTTTCATCTAGGTAAGAATTTTGCCCATCTCCGGTGTCGAAACGTCTCGTAGTTGTGCAATAGTTTCGCAGGGATTTAAAGGCGGCCGGTTTCATCGAATAAATACGTCCGTTCTTTCGTCGCCGAGGAATGGAAAGTTCCACGGTGGAAACGTATACGAATATGGTCAAGCGGAGATACGTACGGTGAGAGTAAAAAGTATTCAAACAGACACGAATCTCTGATAAAACTCCGTGTGATTCCGTTTGTCGTTAAATTCGCGTAGCAAAACTAATTTTTACGTATTTTAAATGGCAGAAACGCTGGTCGACAAATTGTAAATAATAAATTTGTATTCTTCACGATTCCGTTTATCTTCTTCACGTACCATGGGTAGGATGCAACAGAGAAAAAATTATTCGTAGAGAATGCTAATAGTTACAGATAAGAATTAGAAAAATTAGAGCCAATTTGTTAATTTCTATTGGAATTGTAGGGTTATGGATTGTATAATTAAATAAAACTTCAATATTTAAACGTATGAATATGTTGTAGTCTTTATTATAAGCGTGAAGATATATCTTAGAGATCTCAGAGTGAAGAGCAGTTCGCCCTAGTAACGATCTCTTATTTTTGTATAATAACAGACTTTGATTTTCGTTATTAGGAATTGGAATCGATTATTTAGGTATAGAATACTTATTGGGTCGAGTCTGAAGAAACTGAGAAATAAAGTAACCAAGAAAGGATGTTATCTCGTTGAATGTAGCTAGCTCGATGTAACCGCAGCGTAGTCGAGTATGCTGATACTGAAAGAATAGAATAACGAAACTAGATAGAATTATTGTAGTGGAAGTTCAGCTCCATAATTTTTTACCGAATACACTCATCAAAAAATACACGAGGCTCCGAAATAAATTTTAACGCGTCTGAAGTCTGGAACTTGTAAACAACGTTGTTTTTTACGAGTCCAGGGTCGCAGACTCGAAGTAAACGAATCGTTTTGGAACTCGTGGAACTCGATACTTGTAGGTGGATATAGGAGAATGGTAATCGTTGGCGCTTGTTTGCTGCTCTTACGGGGCTATTACGGCGAAGGATATAGTCTGAAACTTTCCGGCAAGAAACAAGTCTGTGGGAGGAAACGAGCCACAGTTAAATGATGACTTCTTCATCGCGTGGTATTCTTTCTTCCATCGCGGCCGGGTCTCGAATCTATAAATCGTGTCCTTGGCCATTGAAAAGTTAAGTAGCGTAACACGGTGTTCGAATTAACCGTCCGCGGTTATATTTAGTTTGTTTTTTCTGCGCTGTTGGGAACTCTCGTCCCTCGAATCGTGGCCGCTTGCGCGGCTTAACGAAGTTTTCAGACAGTCGTGTAATTAGCGAGGATCACAGAGGTTACGCAACGAAAGACGCGAGAAATTAAAGCGACACGCGGTGGACGAGGCGGGGCAACGTTTTTCGCGTTTCTTCGTAGATCCCAGCGTCGATCGACGACGGAGAATATTTATTTATCTACGTCGCGAGTTGTTGGACAATTGCGTCGACGCGTCTGGACGCAGCCGGACCGTGAATAGATAATTACACTCGTACGGAGAGACGGTTCATTAAATTGGATTCATGCTCATTGACGGCTTTAACACGGTCGTCTCCGCTTTCGTGCGACCACCTACCCGTCTAGTGCTAATTCGCTATATTTTGTCCCCTTTTTTTTTCAATTTTTAACGACCATCGGGTATCGTTGCCAAGTCACATATCGCACAGGTCCGCAAATAAAAACGATATCGTTGACAGTGACGTTCCTCTTTTTATCATTTTTCCGAGCTATTGGGACCCCGGGGCGTTTCCTTTTCTCGAGATAGGTAATAACTCGAATAGTTTTCAATTTGTCGCTCTAATTAGGAACGTAGGACGCGTTGGAAAGTGAATTTTAACAAATTTTTAATATTGAAAATATTTAAAATCAACGTAGCTATAAAATTACGTGTATTTAGGACAATTTAATTATATTTTGAATGATTTAAGAACGAGGTCGTTGATATTGATTAAACGCATTTGATAAATTATTTTCTATGATGGAACACAATTCGTTCGTTCATTTCCAGGAAGCTTAGGGTTCCGAATCGTCTGTTCGTTATCCGAGTCACATAAAATTACATATATTTAGGACAATTTAATTATATTTCAAAGGATTTAAGAACGAGGTCATTGATATTAATTAAACGCATTTGATTAATTATTTTCTACGATGGAACACAATTCGCTCGTCCATTTCCAGGAAGCTTAGGGCTCCGAATAGATGGTCGTCTGTTCGTTATTCGAGTCACAAAGGAACGGTCAGATTCTAGTTGGCGCAAGAAAGTTTTCTTTTGAGTCTGTCTCGCTGCGAGAGGCCTAAAATTCCCCGAGGAATAGGTCCCGTATCTCCGCCATTACCGTTGATTTCCACCGTAGATTACAGCCTGCTGTGACGTTAAATCTCCACAGGCGACATTTACCCTTGACCACGTGGTCCCGGTCGACCACCGTCATTTAAAAAAAAAAAACCAAGATCGAAATAACGCGTTACATATTCTCGAACAGTCCACGTCGTCAAGTTCAGATTTGTCAAGCTTATCTAACATAAGGTGCGTCGCGTGGAAGAGACGTTGCTTCTGTTCGTGTATACGTGACGCAACAGCCATTTGCTAAATGGTTTCCTCGTTTCGCCCGAACAATAGGCACACTTTTACAAACGAGCACGTTGCAACAATCTGTGCACGAAGTGTTTGAATTATGTTCGTATTAAATCGTCGATCATTGAAATTTGTCTCGGTACGCGGTTTCGTATACTATCCAAATTTATTTCCTTCAGCATTTCAACTTATTATTATTGATTTAATTAATATAAAATAGGCGTAATCACGAGTGAAAGCTTAGTCGAATAAAATTTACGTTCTCCGACAC